TCAGTTTAAAGATAACTTTTGAAAAACCTTGGAAGAGTTTTATCGCTTTTCACTTCTTTTTTGAGTCTTCTTCAACACTACTCTGAGCACAGCTTTCTATAAACGCTTGATTTTGGTACTTTGTGAGAAATCCGGGCAGCCAGAAGCAAGCGTTAACCAAACGGAGGAACACCCAAGCTGTTGCCGCTAAAGCAATATATGACACACAGGTGATTAGCATCTTCCACAGGTCTAGGGATATAGAGTGACTCTTCATCTCGATACAAAATTGCTGAAACAAAATCAAATATTTAGTATCAGCAAACTAACACATACTTTCTCCCATTACCTTTCCAAACCCTCTTACAATGGGTAAGCGGTGGGAGTGACTATATTTTATGGGTATAATCACAAAAATTGCAATAACTTTTGAACAGGATTGGGGGTTGTACCATTTTGTTTAGAATTGAAAGGACCATTATATATTACATTTTAATACAAAAAAAAATCTGGGATACCATGGATGGACACACCAAATGACCACAGGTGTAGTCTGGTAGTCAGTAGCTCAGTACACATCCACACTCACAAACACACAAAGATATCAACTTAAACATCCCTTTTTTGGGTACAGGGCCCCAAAGAGATATTTTCACCCAAAACTTAAACTCACATTTTGATGAAAGCAACACTTTCTCCAAATACTAGGGATTTGTATAGGGGGAGAAAGTAAAAAATATAGATGTATTTCTTCAGTACAGACTGTAATTCTGTGTATCGGGTAACCAATTTTTTTAGGTGTCAAAAGAGGTAACAGTAGTAAGGATTCCCTCCCTTGAGGGATCTTTTAGGAATTGACATTGATATATACAGTAAATAGATATCATTGAAACAACCACTTTTAGTTCAGTTAGCTTTATTGATACATTCCTTTAACACGTTTGCTGCAGCACATCAAATGTCAGGCGTATCCCCAGTGCGGCGCAGCCCGCAGTGTTCAACAAAGACGATTGCCGTGTGTAATTGGCTTTCAAAATTTGGTCGGCTTCGGTCCACAGATAGCAGCAATGCTTGGAACGTAGTCGGTCCCATTGTGATTGTATTGCCAAGTGGAGGGAGAAAGATAGGACAAAACTTGAGTTTTAAACTTGCCAGAGGGAGATTTTACGGGGAAATTTACTACCAACCTACACCACAACAAAAAGCAAGTCACACACTACACACTAACGTGGTATAGGTCCAGCTTTGACCGACACAAGAGCAAAAACAAAGATATACAAAAGGCATTGCCTAATATTCTCGATCGGAAACGGACGCACGCTAAGGGCGCCGAGCAACGTACCCAAACGGGAACGGCCACACTCAACGTATTAAGTGTTGTTAGCCTTAATCAGCTGAAGACAAATTTAACTACCCAGTCCATGAAGAGTACTTGTTGAACTGAATAGTTATTTCTTAATTCACCAACTTACAAAGCATTTCAACCAAATAAAATCATCGATTTTAAAATATTGCTTGTCTTCATGTATTATTACCAAACAGTCAAGCACATTCTGTAAAAATAACCCTCAAATAAGAGAGGAACATTTAATAAACTTCAGAGCACTCAAATAACATGAAAACAGACTTGAGACGTCTAAATATTTTAAACCTACAAGTCAAGAAGTCAACTTCTAATTGGTTAGAGATTTCAGATGAGCATTTTAAATCCTGTTCCTTGTGCACAAGTCAAAAACGTGATGATTAGTATAGTGGGTGTTTTTGTTGATATGATTCAGCTCCTGAATGTTGGAGAGGGAAAAACAAATTTAATTTCTTTAGACTGAACTGCTAGTTCTGTTGTCAAAATGCAATAGTTTTGGCAATTTTTACACACAAAATGCAAATCAGAATAACATAAAAACTTCAGAAAAGCTAAAAAACAAATGATTACTAAATGGTTACAGACTACTAAATGATTACCGGGGCCTGCTTTCCGGTCAATTTCTTTAACAAATCTAGCAAATGCCCTATCTTTTAATCTGATCAGTGAATGGATTTTTTTTATGGCATTTATATCATAAATAAGTGAGTAAGATGAAATCATTGACTTTGGACATTTCTAGTTGACTCACTATTTGTTGTGGGGCAAAGGAAAATGTATCCTTCACAACTCAAAATATACACTAATTAAATAGGTAATCTAAATAAAATAAAATTATTCATGTGTTTGAGGAATAGTTATTTTTTAATTTTATTTTACTTTTAAATAGTAAATTGTCATACAGAATGAAACTGATAGTGATTAAATACATTAAATTGTGATCCATCTATAAATCTTAACATGTGTTATTTTGTTTTTATTTATAATCATTCAGAAGTTTAAAAGATATCTCATGTCTGTTTTTTGCCATTATTTATGGATTAATCTGAATTAAAACATTAAATGTTAATACACTGAAACAATGTATTCTAAAAGAAATACAAAAATAAATTTATTTTTCCTGTTTGCATAATTTATTTAGCAAATACACACATACTATTAATAACGTCAATGTTGAATTTTTAAGAAGATTATAATTAGACTTGCTTGATTTTTTGTGAGATCAATAAGAAAAATAATTTAATAGTTCAGGTTTAAATTTTAATTCCATCTGCATTACAGTTTAAACTGTGACCAAACATAAATAAATTAAACTTTTGTAACAATTTGAATAAAAAGGATAATTTATTTTCTACGAAGTAATATCGTGCTCACCTGTGGATTGGTCTGTGGTCAACTAGGCGGGTTAAAACGATGTAAAGTCAATAATCAATACTAGTCTCTATGGTCACCATAGCATCACAAACGCATGTATTTACGTCTTATCATTGGACACTGAATAGTTACACTTCCTGTTATACCGTAGGAAATATCAAAGTATAAATATTTGAATTGCTTTTAACCTAAATATAATGTTAACTTTTTTATCTAAATAGTTGCTAAGGCTGCTCAAGTCTAGGGGAGCGAGCTGGTCTGCGGCATTTATCATTGGTTAGAGCGTGGGACTTTGGATCCTGAGGTCCCGGGTTCAAATCCTGCCAAATAACCAATAGATTTTATCTAAGTGATAATGCCGCAACCCCTAGGTCCCTAGATTCCTGAAGTAATGTGAAAAACAATTCCAGGCTCCTGCCTAACGTCCGAGGACAAAAAAAAGGCCGCTCAAGTTGCGGAAAGTTTTGGCTTTGATTATGGATTGAGTTGGACATCTCGTTCCCATCTTAAATTGTTGCCAGTTAAAAAAAAATTGATGAATTACCGAGTCGGTGGCTCTGTTGGTAGTGCGGACTTCAGATCCTAGTCCCTGCTTGATTTTATCAAGAGTTCAACTATTGTACTGTACCAGCTCACCCCTTGCTTTGCTACATTTTGCTACTTACGTGATGGTAATTTTTTAAATTAGTCATTATCAAGTTTTATAAAATAACACAAATAATTATTTCTAATTATCTTAGTGTATTTTTAGTATTTTAGGTACTTTAATGATTATGTTGACAATGTCACCTGTTTTTGTAGCTGTTGCTATGTCTGTAAAACGTTATGTGACAATAAGAATAAAGATATATTTATTTTACGTTTCCTCTGAACCTTACTTCTTATTCTCTGTGCTCTTACATATTCTTGCTTCAGATAGTGTTAGCAAAACGATTCTCTACATTTAATTGATATTTTTACGTAAAAAAACCATAGTTAGGAGTAAAAAAGTAATCATCTAGCTTGATGCTGATTCAAATTATCTTTATTCGCTTATGTGTAGTTACATAAATAGAGAAAAAAATTGTAACAACAACAAATCATAACTGTAAAATAAAATGATTTTGTATTATACCAAAATAGTAATAAAAACTATGAGGTGTTAATTTTATATTTACAATTAATTATTTAGGCCAGATATTACTTTTTAACGAGTAAAAGTAATTTAAATCAAAAAGTTCAATATTTTATCACACAAAATAAAGAATAGTTTTTCCTAGAAATGAGTCATTTAAATATTTCATCATGAATAATTCAAATGCTAGATAGACAAGATAATTTTTTCCATATAGCATCTTGATCATAACATTTGTATGAGTCGAGCTATAAACTTTAAGGCTCTTTACAAACTCTATGAAATTACATCAAAATACTGGTATACAAACTTATTAAAAGTAATTTCAAATCTAAAACTTTATCAGATTGAATTCCAAGATCTCAAAAAAAAATTTTAAATTAAAAACCTTCCAATTTAACATGTGAAAATAGGGTCATCAGTTATCTTTATCTATTTATTTATTTATTGAGTTACATGTCAGTACATGTCTTTTTAATGTCTTTTTTACATGTCTTTGTTACATGTCTTTTTTAATGTGGAAACTTAGAGATTGTGTGAGGGATGAGTATTTGAGGATATCTTATTTTTCTTTTGTTCAATCACATATTTGTTATGGAATAGTTTTGTGGGGTCACTCTAGTGCTGTACACGACATTCTCATAATTCAAAAGAAAATCTTGAGAACTATGTGTAGAGTGGATGAAGTGGAACACTGTAAACCATTGTTTATCAGACTAAATATCATGACAGTAATAAACCTTTACATCTACCAAGTACTTATCCACACAAAACTACACCTATCAGATTTCACCACCAGAGACCACTTTCATACACATGACACCAGAGGCAAGGCTAAGCTGGATCTACCCCAACACAGGTTAGCCAAAACAGGTAAATCCTTTAAAGCCAACTGTGTAAGGTTTTTTAATAGGCTCCCTCAAACTGCAAAATTCGTCCCATTTAATCACTTCAAAAAAACTATAAAAAATTGGCTAGATGAAAACCCTTTTTATTCGCTTGATGAATTCGAAATGTCAGAGTTTAATGTTAAGTTTTAAGTTTTAACCTGTTGTACATAGTTTTTAGTTAATTTTAATTTAATGTATTAGCATTATTTGACTGTTCCTATTTCTGTATTGCTATAGATCAATGGAATAAATACTCTTTACTCTTTACTCTTTAGTACATCATAATAACAGGACATATTGTCAATGGTTAATAAAGACTTAAAACTAATAGATAAAACTAATACATCTGTATTTACACAAAATCAACTGAATCTTCCCAAAATACAACATGTCAAGATGGATTACTTAATCTCTATGTCAAACAGCCTTAATCCAGTTAATCTCCAGGGATGACGTTCCTGATTGTTTCACAGGGAGATATCCACCCCCGTACATGAGGAGGGCAACGCTGGTAATGTTACTGGTGTCTAACGGAGGGGAGTGTTCTCTCTTTCGGCCACGGAAATACGGCTCGAAATGTGACAAAGGCAGCACGACTGTTTCAAACTTTCGAATCGGTGCCTGCGAACAACGGTCAGGGTTAGTTTTGTAGCTACGTTGTAAGTCAAGAAATTAGAATAGAGTAATCTTGATTTATCATTGGAAACTGGCAAGATCGGATAGGTGATAAGGTTAGATAACATGATGAATCATTGGGAATGTGTAAAACTACTTTTTGACGTTGGTAGCATTGAAAACATATGTTTAATAATTCTCTCACAATAAACAGTATGCAGCTGGGTTCTATTCTCTTTGTAGACCAGAAAGGAGTTGATAAATTCAGCTGTGGTACGGTAGATTTATCATCCACTCTTACAGTGCCCTTTTAAAAATGGCATAATATGAGGTAGGATTAGGCATGATTTACAAATGTTTTTGTTAATGATACCTTCATCTTCATGTAACAACTGTAAATGGAATTGTTATGTGTTATTTATAATGATTACATAAAAAGTAGACAGTTTTAACCTTATGGTGGTCTAGGTAGGCCTACATTTAAGCTATTCATGCAGTATTTCATTAGATATTTAAGATTTTTGTGTGATATATGTAAAACTTAGGGAATAACAAAGGCTTCAAAATGTGTAAATGAGGTTGGTTGCTGATGACAACCTCTAAATAAAAAATGAATGAAAGGACGAGCATCCAAAATAAAGCAACATACAAAATCCCATGAAGTGCCCAAATTGAATTTTACAAGAGGGTTCTAACACCCAACCTTGAATGCAAATTAAATACCTCTTAATGTTATCTTCCATACATGGATGGTATTTTTGTCTTTCGGTTATTAATTAAAGTTTATCAAATATATTACTTAATTTAAAAAATATTAGATTAGCGATCTTTAGGGTTCAAGTTTTATTTAAAATTATTCTGGGAAAATTTATTCACCCATGGCTGTTTGATAAGCCTTCCTCGTCACATGTAAAAAGATTCTGCTACGGTTTGCTGAGGCTTGCTTGTCATGACATAACCCTGGTGGTGGCATCTGACGACGAATCCGTGAACTATTTCAAACTAACACTGTATACAGCACATTGTCGATTAGTTGCTTGTTCTTTTACAGCTGTTTCTGTCGAAAAGAGTGCGATAGAGACAGATGTACTGTTTTTCATCTTACAACTATGTCATTGTGTTTGTAGATAACCCCCTAGGTATTTTGGAATTCTACTTTTACTATGGAATTATAAATTTAATCATGATTATGCCAACACTTATGCCAGTAGAGGGTAAAATGAGGTATGGTTTGGCGTGATTTAGGAAACAACTAGAGTAGCAGGGTTTGGCCGGCGTAAAAAAAAATCATGCCTCATGGGGTTACGTTATAAAGAACCTTAGAAATTTTGGCTGTTTAAAAAAATTTGTTGAAACAAAACAACCCTTTTCTAACTCCCCTAAGTTGAAGAAAGATTGTAAATAAAAATGGTTAAGTTCACACAATTTTTTATCATGAAACTAACAACTCGGGAATCAAAAGTATAATATTTACTTACTACAAAAAGCCCTCAAAAGTCATTGATATTAAGCACTCGTAGGTGTAATGAATTTTGTTTTTGGCATGCAAATAATATATGTAAAGTACTCGTAAGGCCGAGCAAGGACTTGATTTTAGGTCAGATTAACGAGGTTTAACTCTATTGATAAAAGTGTTTAACCTGAAACATGTGTTCGTAGGAGGGAGAGATTTGCCCATTGTGACGTAAAACCACTTTGTAACCGTAGTAGTCCCCTTGTCCTCGACAAAACAGCTGTAGCGTCGAATAATCAGACAGGTCCAACTGTGTGTCCGTGCGGAAACCGGCAAACCCAGCGCCATCTAGAACATAAAAATAACCATAAGAGCAGATCTAGAACAGCTGAGTAAATTGTTTAAGGAAAACCCAGTACTATCTTAAATCCAACGGGCTGAGTGGATGTATTGCTCGCCAAGTAATTTGAAGGATACCGGTTCAATCCTGAGAAAAGTCTTTTTAAGGTTTAAAACTGGACCTTGCCGTTTTTGATAAATTGATCTTTGGGCCAATAAATGTTCCTGACAAAAGAAGCAGCCTATCTTGTCTGTAACAAAGCTGTAAATAATATTAAAAATTCTTCCTCTACTCATTTTGTCTTTTAAATACAAACCCTGGTGTGTATTATAAGCTTCATAAAAATATCCATCCATATAGACACATGACCCAACAGGTTAATAGTGTCATCTGTTTTACCGGAACTATTTTAACATTGGCAATGTAAATGTAAGTACTGGGAGTTCTATTCTATTCTACCAATAAAAAATTAATTTTGTATGAGTAAAGTATTCAAGCAAATTGATTTAAGGGAAATCCTCTGTGATTCATAGAACATATGAACACATGGTTTTCAATAACGAAATCACTGGTGGTGATATCTGTGAATTATTCTAGCACTTCAAAAGCATATTGTGCTATGTTTCAGTGTTGGTAATAAGAATGACTGTTTAGATTGTAATGGGAAATATAACAAAGTCCCAATTATTTTGTCAATATATGTGAACGCCTTATATGCTTTCGTTCTGTGCTACCTTCAAACATAAATTTTGAAAAATATTTCTTATAAGCCTACCTGAGAGAATCTGATTTTATTGTATTTCCTAATCACCTTAGTAACTGATATACGGACAAACTGTTTATCAAAGTTAATTTTAGATACCATCTTTTAAACAACATCGCTGCAAGCAAACTATCACTGAAAGTTATTAAACTCACCTCAAATTGCTATTCCAGGGGCCTGTTTCATAATAAACTACAAGTTACAAGCTATAATTTGTAATTTACATTAGGTTTGCATTGGACGATCAGCTGATTTACTTATAATATTAGTTTGTAGTTTATTATAAAACAGGCTCCAGCTTAGGCAATCAGTAATGGAATACCGGTATCAAGACTGCTTTGAACTAGCTCAAAAATACAAAAAAAATTTCTAATGAACAGGGTGACACGGAGTAAAGGTTATTTAGCACCTAATAAGAGGCTGAGTTACACCAAATTTTGTTAACCCGCCTTTGGTAGACGTATAAAAAACAGTTGTTCTTAAGAAAATTTGCTTATTCCTGCTTTATTGTCATATAATTAAGCTATTATCAAATGAGTCACTATTTTCAAGAAAAATGGAGTAATAGAATAGCGTTTTTGGTCTTATATAAATGATAATTTTGATGATAGTTTCTTTTAAGCCTACATAAAACCTTTTCTTTTCAGTCACTGTTGATGACAAAAAACCAAGAGACTCTTATAGCTCCACGAGAAAAAACAGATAAATATGTCAATCAAATTGCACAATAAGTGCCAGAAGATTATATGCAAAGAGCACACCGGCCAAACAAAAATAATATATAGTGAACGTCAACTAAAACAAATTTGTTTTCTTATACTGTGCTTAGATTTAACTGAATTTAACGTATGTAAATTGCGTATAGAGATGATGTTTAAGTATTGTGTATTTTTAAGGAAAACTCTATTTTTTTACCTACTCATATTTTTGTCTAAAATCTATTTATGCCTAGCTATTTAGACTTATTTTAGTTCAAATATCACATTTATAGTAGTTGTGACAGCAAAACGAGCAGCTTGATGTTACGCAGCGCCTATACATGCTACTACTTGCGGACCAATTAGCAAGGTAAACCCAAAATTTTTGTAGATATTTCAAAATTATAAATAAAAAAGGAAATTTAATTATATGTAAATGAGGGAAAGCATTCAAACTATATTATTTTGCATTTGAATTTTAAAATTCCCCCGTTTTTGCAAAGGAAAGCCCTTCAAACCAATCATCCCCCGATCAAACTTTTCCTTGGTCCTTGTCAGGCCTACCCAAAATATTATTCCTGGAGCCGCCCCTGCCAATTAGTGGGTTAAGCAACTAAATCCACCATTTAGGGATGCACAATACCTCAGTGAATTAGGCAAAGAACATCTAGCATTCAATACTAAAATGATTTTGTGTCGCACTAATGCCAGGCACTAAGTTTTTATTATGTTAAACTAATAAAATATTCTCGTTGTCCTAACTTCCATTTCTCCTTGTTTTAACTACATACAAATAGAGTAAAGAACAATGAACTAACGCTGAGGCAACAAGCCAAACAATCCTGACATGTAGATCTAAAACTCGTACTTAGAACATCACCAAGTACCATGCAGTGTAACAAAATATATCCTATTTTTAATTAGGCCTAACTTTAAATTTGTATTTATTTTTAACTTATAAAAATATTTTATAAATGATAATTCTCTCTCTAATTTTGGACCCCTTTTCCAGTACCTGGTTGAGGGTTAAGCATGGTGAAGAGGATCCCTCGTTGGAACCTCCGAGTTTTGTGAAGCACCAGGGCTGCCTTGGACTTGCCTACTTGCTTCAACACATCCGACATCTCCATCCATCCGTTGAGTTGCGGCACCGACGTGAAGTCCATCACCAACAATTCGTCGCTGGCAAACATCAAAAGAAAATCTTAACATGTAAACTAATATAGGTATGGTAAATAATTTGCAAAATTTAATAATTTAAGTAAATAACTCACCCTTTTAAGAGTGAAGAAATGTAACTACTAAGCAACAAAAAATCTTTTTTTGAAATAGGTACAAATTTATATAGCTTGTTACCATTGAATGTTAAATTTTTAGATTTTAAACTTTATGTTAAATCATCTCTGTTGAAACTTAGTATATACGATCTAAATGAATTTGTAGACTATCTCACCAGCCATATGATAGAGTGATGTACGAGTGATATATTAATGTATTCTTGACGATGCCACACATGTAATTAATTGTGTAAAAAGGCAACAAAGATTTTGATTGATTGATTGATATAGAAACACAAAGAATTTATGCAGGTTTTCCTAGTAGCGGAATCCAGCTGTAGATTTGTAAATGACGTGGGTGCGCTTTTCAGCAAGGGTATTTTCCTATGATAGCAGTATTTATTTGCGTAGTGGGTTTACGTGTCAGTTTCTAGTAAAGAATTACACAAAAAATTAAGTCTCACGAGTAGTTATTTTAATGGTTCGTCTATAGACAAAGAAAATTTAATATTGATTCAAAATTGCTAAATGACCAGTTCTAATACAAATTTAAACTGAATTAATTGTCTAGGTTTAAGGTTTAGTTTACCGAGTTTCATACTATTTGAAGTAAGTTTACTGAAAAAACCTTAATTTTAACTCTCAATATACCAAATTAAACATGGAAATACAGCAGTGTACAAGGCAGTGGGGGATTTAGATAGTTTTTGTAACTGGATAATTAAAAAGAAAATCATTGTTATCTGAAATAAAAGTTTATGGTAGAGCATAATAACATTTTCTTAAATTCTGATCTGCAAACTTCTCTGACTAGGCTCTACATTTTATATCAATATCAAGAAAATTTATCCATGCAAACAACTTTGTATGAGTACACAGAAGGGTCACCACAATCCACCAATGTAATTTTAATTCTGGCAAATTTCAAAACTACGCTAAAGGAATTTACTGCAGCTTTGTCAACAATTTGTTTCCTCTGATTTAACTTCAAAGCCTTAAACCTTGAAAACCATTATCTACTAAATAAAAATAAAAGTATTTGGCGCATGTAACTTACCTGTTTTCCTGATCTTCACCATAAATGGTAGTAAGTTTAATAAATATGTAGATAAGATAACAAACAGTTCTATGGCGCATCACAGTCACAGTCAAAATAGATTGATTGCTTTCATCTGCAAGGTCAAACTGCTCTAGGCCATGATTGGCAATCAAAGGGCCCTCCCAAATGTGTACCTTACCAAGTTATGATGCCTGCCCAAGTGTACTGTCTCATCAAAAAATATATAGGACAACCTAGTTAAAATTTGTGAATAATTATTGTATTCTGTGTTGACCTGCTTACAAAATAAGCAACAAAAAGCATTATGTCCTATAGTGCAACCAATCAAACCCCCAGTCAATAATACCCTTTGGGCACTTGGGTTTCATAAAAAAAATATATTTCACTCAATATTATAAACATACCTTTTACCTCTTCTTTCTTCGCCACAATCCTCAGATCGGGGAGTAGTCAAAATTTCTCCTTCTTCATCTTCTTGGCAGCCTTTCAGCTAGCCCAGTATAAGTGTGTATAAGTGTGTTCTTGTATGTATTCCTTTGTTGAGTAATATGGTTTGTTTATAAGGTACTTAGTTCTTTAGTGTCTTTACAAATGTGGTATGATTTGAAATATTTTTAATTTTTTCTGGCAGAAGATTTATGTATTTAGATCCTGTGTATGTTGGGGTGTTGCTGAATTTTTTTATCATAGATGAACATAGTTTTATCATAGATGAAGTAATTACTTCATCTATGGTTTTATGATCGACTGAATACTTAAAACATTACAAAAAATCTGTAGCCTACAAACTGTTTTCATCGTAAGGAATAAGTTATGAAAATAAGTTTATAATAGGCCTAAATCTATTTTTTAGGTTAGAGATTTGTTTACGCTTCTAGAAAGATTATGACACCACAACCAAACCAATCAACCCATAATTCAATTCGATTCGAGTTTAGTTTGTTTGACTGACATTGAACAATTACATCCAATCAGCTGTAAGCTGTTGTTTGCCAAGCTATCAAAACAAATTATTTAAGTTTAAGGTATAAATAATTACATAGAGTAATAAATGCGTTATTTCAATATACAGTAAAAAATGTGTTGAAAGAATTATTAATGGTTAGGTTTAAAAATATAAATGTCCGTAAAAAAATATGGATTCCCAGTCAGCACACGAGGTATTATATACATATATTTTAGGTCAATCTTGGTAAACTATGTAAAGTATATTGAAATATGTAAAATTCACATATAATTTACTCGCTGATATTTACATAGAAAATATCGTTACCTTTTGTTTTAGGTCAACATGAAATTCTGTCTTAATTAATATGTGATTGATTTAAACCTATTTTCTGGCCTATTTCTCGATACATTTAATGTATACTGAATGTAACTTATTCACATCCCATATACTTTAATATTGACGTAAAATATACATATATTTACGTTAAATATACATAAACCATTTTCCTGGATTCATACCAGATAGATTTGTAAATTTTGCTCAAAGCCTTGAGAAAGAGATATTTTCACTCAGACCAAACAGTTGCTTTTAGAGAAAGTTTTTCTTAGAAGAAGGGACAGTAGGAATTTACAATACAGGCAGCTAGACAAAGAACTGTAATACAAAGGGGTGGCAAGTGCGAAGGTCACTTGTAGAATTCCTTCACCAAGCCAAGAAGTGTAGTTAGACCGAACCGGTTTGGGATTGGGGTTGGGGTTGCAGCGTTGACTTATTGGATCCGAATAAAAATATCGAAGCCAGACTGATAGATACTAGAATTATATCGATAGTCAATATCAACATCGAACTTGATAGGCTCGATATTTCTATTCGATAGCTTACTGGGCAGTTATGACTTAGGGAGTATGTTTAATCTATGGTTATGATTAATTTAAATTTATGTAACTACTACAGTCTAAGTTAGAAAAACTAAATAAGTTAATAATTAATAACTAATATTATTATTATTACTAAGGTATGACTGAAATAAATCATAAATCCTTTCCACACGGAGCATTAGCAGTACTGGTCTTTCGATATGCATTGAAAATCGTATTAGCACGATAGTATCGAATGGGTCGGACAGTACCGTAACGCCGACTAGCTGTCAGCCGAGGCCGCCATTGTTGTTTTTGTTTTAGTTGTTTAGTTCTGTGTTTCTGCTGCAGTTCGAGTTCTTTACTTTATCTCTTCTGCTATTTATTCTGTGTATAGTCTCTGCCCTCCTCGAGATCAATATTTCAATCGTTGTTTCCAAAACTTAGCTGTTAATTATTCAGTTTTTTAGTTAGTTTTAAAAGTTTATTTTACAGTTGTAACTTATTTAAGTTCAAGAATCAAGAAGTTTATTGGCCATCGGTGTTACCGTTGGTCCTAGGCCTACTTTTAAGATTTTCACTAGATCAACCTAACTTATTTATGTTTTCAATTCATCATCAATTTTCTACAACCCTCAAAGGTAAGTGTTCTGCTTTTATTTGTGGTCTAAACTTACAAATACTGGATTTTAATTAGGCTAGGCTAAGTTAAGTTACATCACAGACAATTGGATAAAGAAGGTTTAATTTCCATCTTCATTTTTACTGGTCTTGGATGATATTTTCGGTAGGTGTGTATTCTTTCAAGATTTCGGTTGCACTTTAGTTTCTGTCCTACATTTACTATTATAGAAGGACTACTAGCCACGAATACTAGAACATGTTTTCTAGTACCTATTTAGGTACGGTACTACACAAATAGGTAGGCCTATTTGTGCTACCAGCTGATAAAACTGTTCTAAACTTAACTTAACCTTAACCAAACATGCAGTTAAGTACTAGGTAACTTGAGTTATGTGAGTAAATGTAGGACAGAAACTAAAGTGCAGCCAAGATTTTATCAAGTACTTAGGCGGGTAATTATATCGACCTCCGGACCTCACGCGAAATTAACAATTTTTTTTTTCAAAATGGTCGAAATTTCACGCTGATTTCAAAAATGATTGTCGTTTTTTTCGGAAACGTCCCGTTTTCCCGGAAAATGGGAAAAACGGGAAAAATATATTTTGCTCAAAACCCATGTTGTGGGTACTCAAATTATGCGGAATTTCCTCCTGAACAAGAATATGTAAATTTTATTACGATCGGACCACTATTAAGTAAAATATCACCGAAAAACGGGAAAACGGGGAATTTTTTTTTTCTCAAAACCCATGTTGTGGGTACTCAAATTGTGCGAAATTTCATCATGAACAAGAATATGTAGTTTTTATTACGATCGCTTTTAAGTAAAACATCACCGGACAGGTTAACTAACCTAACATAGGTTTGGATTAGGTTAGGTTAGGTTAGTTTAGGATAGGTTAGTTTAGGTTAGGTTAGGTTTAGTTAGGTTAGGTTAAGTTAGGTTAGGTTAGGTTAAGTTTGGTTAGGTTAGGTTAAGTTAGGTTAGGTTAGGTTAAGTTAGGTTAGGTTAGGTTAAGTTTGGTTAGGTTAGGTTAGCTTAGGTTAGTTTACTTACAATACTTACCTATTCTAACCTAACCTAAACTAACCTATCCTAACCTAACCTAACTTAACCTAACCTAACCTAACTTAACCTAACCTAACCTATACTAACCTATCCTAACCTAACCTAACTTAGGTTTAGATTAGGTTAGGTTAGGATAGGTTAGTTTAGGTTAGGTTTAGTTAGGTTAGGTTAAGTTAGGTTAGGTTAAGTTAGGTTAGGTTAGGTTAGGTTAAGTTAGGTTAGGTTAGGTTAAGTTAGGTTAGGTTAGGTTAAGTTTGGTTAGGTTAGGTTAAGTTTGGTTAGGTTAGGTTAGCTTAGGTTAGTTTACTTACAATACTTACCTATTCTAACCTAACCTAAACTAACCTATCCTAACCTAACCTAAGTTCGTAAGTTAGGTTAGGTTGAACCCAACCTAACCCAACAAAACCTAACCCAACCTAACCAAACTTAACCTAACCTAACCTATCAAAACTCAACCTAACCTAAACCAACCTAACCTAACTTAACCTAACCTAACCTAACCTAACTTAACCTAATCTAACTTAACCTAACCTAACCTAAACTAACCTATCCTAAACTAACCTAACCTAAACTAACCTATCCTAACCTAACCTAAGTTCGTAAGTTAGGTTAGGTTGAACCCAACCTAACCCAACTAAACCTAACCCAACCTAACCAAACTTAACCTAACCTAACCTATCAAAACTCAACCTAACCTAAACCAACCTAACCTAACTTAACCTAACCTAACCTAACCTAACCTAACTTAACCTAATCTAACTTAACCTAACCTAACCTAAACTAACCTATCCTAAACTAACCTATCCTAACCTAACCTAACCTAATCTAAACCTAAGTTAGGTTATGTTAGGTTAGTTAACCTGTCCGGTGATGTTTTACTTAAAAGCGATCGTAATAAAAACTACATATTCTTGTTCATGATGAAATTTCGCACAATTTGAGTACCCACAACATGGGTTTTGAGCAAAAAAAAAATTCCCCGTTTTTCCGTGATATTTTACTTAATAGTGGTCCGATCGTAATAAAGTTTACATATTCTTGTTCAGGAGGAAATTCCGCATAATTTGAGTACCCACAACATGGGTTTTGAGCAAAATATATTTTTCCCGTTTTTCCCATTTTCCGGGAAAACGGGACGTTTCCGAAAAAAACGACAATCATTTTTGAAATCAGCGTGAAATTTCGACCATTTTGAAAAAAAAAATTTTTAATTTCGCGTGAGGTCCGGAGGTCGATATAATTACCCTTAGGCCTACGATATTAACTAACTTAGGTTAGGCCTATTAATAGCACATTAGTAAAATACAGGGTTTTTAAATTCGCAGAGGATACGCATCCGGTAACTGGACGTGGATTAGGCGTCCAGCAGTTACTGTCATAACCTAACCTAACCAACCAAACTTGCTGATAATGAAAAATGATAATGAATGAAGGTTAAATTATGTTCATAAAATAAAATTATAAATGCCAAAAATTCTAACAAAAGATGTACAGTTATGGCATTCAAAGCAAAATCTTTGACAAAAAGTTAAAGATACCGATGTGATTCGAACCAGGGACCTCTTGCGTTACTCACTAAT